CTAACCCGCAACACCAAGCCGATATCAGCTGTAACCGATAAACAGAGACTTACTCCTCAGGTCTGTCCGTAAAAGAAACATCCATTCTAGTCAAATATTAGTTTATCCTTCGTATTGTAAAACACCGCTAGCTGTTTGTCGGCGCGCGTCACCATGGCAACACATCAACCGACGTGATCAGGCCGTTTTATTGTCAAAGCGGAAGCATCCTCTGGTTTTGTTTTGTATTTATTCGCTTAGACAACTTATTTTTTTTAACATAACAGACCAACTTGTTTTCTTTTGTTTGTTTTTACACAGACATCAACTGTGTAATAGACTGATTTCTCTTCTTCCTTTGGGGAAAAAAGCGACGGTGTGAACAGAAGACCACTGCGATCCAGGGTGCTCTCCTCTCAAACGAAACCACTTCACACATATCTTAACAAGACATGTCAGATACAGTATTTATAGGGCGTAACCTTATTACAAATCTAAACATGTTTATAAGAGGTCCCCGTGATGGTTTAAGGTATTTTCAAACATTTTCTCTGCCACAACAAATCCATAATTAATTTATATTAATTCATGTATGATAGCCTATAGCCTTCTTACATTTGCAGAGGGAATGCTTTTTACAGTTTAGGCTGTCTGACAACTATATTTATTATAATTATGTTAAAACACAAAGCCCATGATAAAACAGGAATAAACAGAGCTGAAAAGATTAATAGATGGACTGATGAGGAGAAAGTGAATCTGGATCAATTTTAATGGGCAAATAATCAAAGTGGAACTCTTTATTTTAGTGTAAAAAGACCACGCGTTGGCTCATGTCAGATTGCTGTACAACACAAATAATTTGAGTCAACAACAGTTGTTGGGCTCCAGCTTCAGATTACAAAACAAACTTCACTTCAGCCAGAATTTAGCCCCGAGCCTAGGAAAAAGAAAGCATCAGTGAGACTTGGATGGGATATTTCATATTATTAAAGTTGATATGTTATAATAAATCAAACAGGAAAAAGTTCATCTCAGGTTTATAACTACTAGTGCCCGAGAACTTCCAGCAATTTAGGGATTTATTTGTTGAAGAACAGAAACAGGAGGTAAGTTAACAGCAAAGCAAGTTTATGTGTCAAGACACACAAACTTGTTGCAAACTTAATGTCTGTTGTAGGCGTTCACAAAAAAGTTTTTCTGTTTTAAAATATTAGTGGAGGCTTACTTATAGTGAAAGGGAGACAAATGCACATTCACTGACAATTTCATTACCTAGCTGCCATTCATTAGATTTTTTAAATTGTTCATAGTTACAGTACACATAGTAGCCTACAACAATATCTGTGGTAAAAAAAAAAAAAAAGTACAGCTATCAGCATGTGTAACTGATAATTTCCCCAGTTCCCAGTTACACCAGTCACCTAATTCCTTTCAGTCAAGTGAGTCCCCACAAATCTCAAAATAAGGTCACTAAAGCAAACGTTTGCCCAGGCACACTGTGGATCACATTAGCTTCAGATCAGAGGAAGAAAAATATGTTTCTGAATGTTCTAAATAAAAGACAAAGACTCAGGTCAGGTATTTGCCTTATTACTGTTTATTGTTGCAGTCATCATCTGTTGCACTCTCTGCAAGGAGGTACAGCTTGAAGGTAATACAGACTGAAGGTATCAGCTACACCGTAATACATGCATGGCACTGTCTGTCACACTGTGAGGTTTCTTCTGTGCGTATCCTGCTCTTCCTTCATTGTGAACTGAGCTCAGTGTACTGGGATAGTTTCCCTCTAGACATGTTTCTACATCAGTCTACCTGTCGAGCTAGCACTGAGGCAACACATCTAGAAACAAACCATTAGAAACAAAGTATGTACAGTAACAGTAGGTGACTGTTCAACGTAGGAGTGTGACCATAAAAGGCATTGTTAAGGCAGAAATGTCTTGAGAGGAAGAACTGGAATGTAATGGATGTTTAAATCAGAATACTGAGTCAGTGTTTCTTCCTGCCAATGAGACTGAATGATGAAAATCTATAGGCGTTATGTTGTAGTTGTTAAACATATCTTCTTGCTGCCTGTACTGTGAGCTGGATTCATAAGCTGTACATCTGTACAAGTAACGTGAAAATGATGTGTTGTACCATTACTCCTCTTTACATGATGCAAAAACAAGTCAGGAACATAATCAAGAAGTTAAGGAGGAACATATACTATTTATTTATTAATGTAAAGGTACATTTGAAAAGGCAAAAATATTTAGATATTGACTGTAAATTATTAAAAGGCAAGTTTGAAATCCTACACATGGTACTGCGGGTAATGTGCCTGCTTCCATGCACATGTGAATGGCATCACTGAAAAATGATTCCAAAAGCATAGGGTGTGTGGAGGTTTGGTCAGACAATGTTCTTTTGTCTCAGCTTCTTTCTATTTGTGATTGGGTCCTGTGTGAGCACAGCAGTCTAACAGTTTCTGTTTTTGGATAGAAGTGAGTGGGATTCTGTTAGAAACACACACTTTCCTACACCACTCAGAATCTAACAATATCTGAGATATATATATATATATATATATATATATGGATATGTGTGTGTGTGTGTGTATGTATGCATACGTACTATATCTGATGCTGTCATCAGGGGCTATTTGATATGAACTTGTGGTGTGGAGCTTGAAAGACCCATGCATTTACCAATCAGGGATGGAAAGATCGTACCGAGTTGCATTATGGCCCTTTTGCAGCCTGCCTCCTCTCTCTTCTTACTAAATCACCGGAGCACCAGACAACTGCCCAGAGCAGAGTTTATGAGTGTTCAACTCTTAATATAAAACAGCCAAGGATGTTTTGAGGGGAGATCACCCATGTTTGGATCACATACAGATGAGAAAGATGTTGTTATTTGGCACTGAGTCTGCAATAAAGCAGATGTTTTCTAATGCAAAAACCATAAATGTATGAGGAAACAAGGGCTTTTCATCTGCTTACATGATTGAAACAGAAACATGCTTTCAAGTATGTTCAGTAGAGAGAAAACCGGGGGAAAGGCATCAGCAAAACAAGTTCAAATTAAAAATAAAGGGTGGCCTTTTATCAAACAATCATTTACTTGACACAGATATGTATAAAACTAAATTGAAACCCTTACAAAATGTAAGGTTTAATATTTCCTTGAGCATCACTCTGGGTTTACAACCTGATCTCTCTTTGTCTCCTGTTCTGTGCCGAAAGTCAGACATCAGTCCTTCTTCTCTTTTGTGCTTATTGATTTGAGTGTGATTTGAGATGCACCATGCTGTTGTCCCATCACAGTAGAGGGAGGTCAGTCCACTTTGTCTTGTTCTTGTCTATTTAGTCAAACATCTCTGGCCAGAGATTAAAGGATCCTCTATGGTATGGTAAGAAAAAAAAAACATCTCCATTATGCTGTTGTCTGGGGGAAGCTGTTCATGATGATCAGGACACAACAACAAAAAAACACACCGTCCCCCACCTGGGTTCGTTTCTGTAATTTTGACAGCTTTATCTGATTGACGTCTGCATGTACAGTAAGCTCATATCCAGTGTTGAGTCTTTATAATTGTGACAATGGAGCTGGAAGCAGCCAGAGAGAGACAGAGAGTTTCAGATCTCATTGATTGTTCGTTCCGAGGGCCGGTAATCCTCTCTTCCCTTAGGAGAGGACATGTAGAAGGACTGGGTCTTACGTTTTAAGCGAGCTCGCTTGGTGGCCAGAGACAGACTGTGCTTACTGGAGGCAATAATGTCAGAGATGAACTTCTTGCAGTCCACACACACCTCCATAGTGGCCCAGTCCTCTGTCAGCTCCGGGGGAAGCTCCAGCTCTTCATGAGACTTTAAAGAACCGTGTTTTGAAAACCTACAAAGGAGAGAGATGGGGGGGTCTTAGCATGTATAATCATCTAAAGTGTTTCCAGCTTCTTGCTAATGACATCATACTGAGAGGAGCAGGTAGTATGTGATTCCTATGTGACCTATCAGTATGTTTCCTAAGCACCTGACTTCCTAGTCTGGTAATAAGTACATTTCATCCACTAGATGTCAGTGACAGTGTACTGATAGTCCAAAGACACAAACTGGATGAAGACGACAACCTGAACCCAAACAGCAAGTATTCTGGCTCAGGGACTTTATATTTTGTTCTGTTTCTCAATTATATAATTTGGAGCACATGTGTGTGTTTTTCAGTTTTGTATATTAAGTATTTGTAGAATTTAGAGCACAGTCAGTAATCTATGGGCCCTGCACAAGTCTACAATCTCTTCCCATTATAAATATAAGAACAACAAACTTCTTTATCAGGTTCAGGGCATAGCACACACTCTTGTGAGTCTGAATAACTGAGTAATTGTTCATAGTCTTACCTGGACATGGTCTTCTGGATGCTGTGGTGCTGTGAGCTGCTGGAGGACCTGTCACATTTGGCAGCTGCTGCTGCTGCTCCAGAGGCTTTTCCAGCTCCTTTAGCTGCTCCTGGTGTTGCTCTTTTTAAAGAGGGGGGTGTCGCAGCCCCTCCCAGCCCTCCAGCCACAGATAGCCCCTGTCCTACAGCGACCATCGCACTGATCCTCTCCCTGGGCAGAGTGTTGGTCGAACCAATGGAGTAGATGGGAAGACTGGAATAAGGTTTGGATGGCAGCCGCATCTGTTAGCGAGAGCAGCCATGAATATAAATAAGAAGTAGTATAATGATTACTGAGAAACAACACTGAGGTGAATTATCCTTTATTATGAACCCTCATGAAACTGGGTGAGAGGCTAAGTTTTAAGGTAAGGCTAAACTGATGTGCATCTGATACTGTACATGGTAATCAGGTGAAATGTGAAATCTATCTATGAGAATATCTGGAATACAGTAATGATTTTACCAGTAATATTTTAACCAGCCTAAGCAATATTACATATTAAGGGGTTTGGAGGAAAATCTTTTTATAGTGTCTGTGTTTTGAATTTGTTTTGGGTTCACTTGATTGGGAGAAATTCTGCTGCCCCGGTAACTGAGTTATTCTATATGACTTACCTTTTTGCAGCACTGTGAACACACTGGCCTGTAAGTAGAAATGAGAGAACTGAGAGGAAATGGTAACTAAAACAATGTTATACTTTTTTAGATAGTCTGAATAATACACAGGGTAAAGATTAGGGTAATTTAAAATGTTTTACTTCTTGCAAAACTGGCAGATGTAGGACCAGGTGAAAAAGGAAAACCTTTTGGTTCGACAACAGAAGCAAAGCTGCAAGAAAAAAGATGAATACGAATAGATTTTAAAAGATAAATTAAGATATATGATGAAATCCTATTTGCTGACACCAACTATTCCTTTCGTTCAGTTTAAGCAGAGGGATATACTGTATGTGTTCTTCCCTTAATGGTGTAGTCAATAAAGTTACAGAGGGAGTTACTACTGTTAAGTGTTGGCTGATTAATGCATCTACTCATGACACATACTGTAGACCATGTGTTATACAGGAAGTAGTTACCTTTCCCTTCTTCATAGCGATGTAGATATCTTTGTACTGCTGGAACTTCTCTCACTCTGCCTTGACCAGCACCTGTCTGATATGCATCACCTCCTCCACTGTCAGAGACAGACACTCCACAGGGAAACAGAACTCCTCCTGCAAGAACACACACACACATGCAGAGTGGGTGACCCTGGCAACAGCAGATCCAACACACAGGACCAGTGTTAATTTTGTTAATGAAAACCATAACTATGATGAAATGTTTTACATTTTTCATCAACCAATAAAAAGTAAATGATAATGTGAAAGAATGACAAATGGACATTAGGTAACTTAATTACCTGCTGCATCTGTAGAATCACAAATTGTAGGTGTTGGTCAGTAAAACAGTTCCCTGCACTGGCCAAATATCTCATGCTCAGGCACTGGATTAGCCACCTGATGTGTTTCACTACTGTTGATAAGCTACCCTCTTACATTCAGTAACGTTCTGTCTCTGGCATTAGCGCTTCCTGGAAGAAAAGGGTTTACGAATCATATTCATCTACAATCCAGAGAATTACACACAGAAACCGCTGGGACACACTAGGAAAATGCAGCAGTACGCCATATGAAACGGTAGGATATTTAACATTAACATTAACGTTCCTTTCAGTCAGGTATCTCTTGTGTTGCTCTGAGTCAGCTCCAAGAATAATATAGGCAGTCAACCATAAATCATCTCTAAATGTTCACTGCAGTTGGTTTTAATGGTATCTGACCATTTAGCATCACCTTTGAACCCATCCATCCATTATCTATACTGCTTATTCCTAAACAGGGTCATGAGGAGCTGGAGCCCAGCTGACACTGCACTGGGCGAGAGGCAGTGTACACCCTGGACAGGTCATAATATGACAAACTAATAAGCATTGTTATCAAAAGACTAAGACTAAAACAAACTCATATGTCAAAGTTAACACTGCACAGGAGTCAGTGTTTATCATTCCGTCTGCAAACAGTCATTCCTTTGCAGCTTTCAGAGCAGCCTGTGTGGTTCCAAGCATAATGTAGATTTAGATTCAGAGAGGGCTCATGATGTGGAATCAGATGGAGGGATGTGAAGGTGCTTCCAACCACGGTGCAGGGCATCAGAGTGCCTCACAAACTGAGGACTGATTGTCTTGAAGAACTGTTCCAGTGTGACTGGCATTTTTTTTCTATAACCACTTACATCCCACAGTCTTATGTTATGCTTCAGACTCACTGCTCTGGTCTGTCTTGTTTGTAGATGCCATCATCAGCTGTTTTCAGTGAGATTGTGCTGCTAAACCCAGTGCACAAGACCTGCCCAGCACCAAACAGCAGATAGTGTTAGCAGCTATCAGTGTGTACTGTATCTGCCAACTGTCTTCTGCATTAAAGGAAGCAACTACTCACAGAATAAATCCTGTAACGGGCCAGGTGGGCAAGAGGTGGGGTACACCCTGGACAGGTCGCCAGTCCATCGCAGGGCTAACACACAGACAAACAACCAATCACACGCACAATCACTTCAACATGCAATTTAGAGACACCAATCAACCTATGCTGCATGTCTTTGGACTGTGGGAGGAAGCCGGAGCACCCGGAGAGAACCCACGCATAAACAGAAAGGCCCCAGGTTGGCCGGGGCTTGAACCTGGAACCTACTTGCTGTGTGAGGCAACAGCGCTAACCACCACACCACTGTGCTGCCCCAATTAAGTGCATATCTTTATTTCTAATTTCTGTCTCTTTGATATTTTGGCCAGTGTGTAAGCATTTGGTTGTCCAGCACATCTGAGATCAGGCTCAGGGCAGTTGAAGGGACCTGGGTGCACGCATGAGGTCTGCTCAGCTGACGGCACCAGAGAGAGCCGTGTATGGCCCCAGTGTGCTGGTCCAGCCCAGATAACACTGGGCCAGCCTGTCCTCCTCCACTGGTCAGCGTCTCTCTTCCGTTCTTGGTTTGCTGCCACAGATTTGAGCTCAAACCATCTTTTTAATTCATTAGTTGGGTGCTCTTCTCCTTAGACAGTGTTCACTCATTGAGTAAGAGCATCCCGTGTGTCCTTTTAGTTTTATTTTCTATCCAATACTGATGCTACTAAATACAGAAGCTCATTCATTGTTCTCCACTTCACAATCACTCAGGTTTTTCTTTGGTTTGGAGTTCATTGCTCCACCGTCTTTAGATTTTGGTTGTAGCTTACTCTGCTTCTCTTTTCTGTTTCTATGCGAGATGTGTGCACATGGCCCTACAGTCTCATGCCCTTCTAAGGGAACTGACAAAGTGTTAACCTATGCTAATTAGGAGCAAATGGCGCACGCTTTCAACTTAGGAACACATAGGATTCATCAATGTAAGAACACAGGTGTGAACAATTCTGCAGTTATAGAACACGTTGATGAATCAGACGTAGACTCTTTCTTGGGCCCTTTCTTAAGAACAGCCTATGAAGAAATTTAGGAAAACACTTAGGAAGATGTTAGTGAATGAGACCCAGTGTGTTTATTCTAAATCTCTCTTTATTTCCTTTCCAGTCATATCGCTTATCTATCCCTAGTTCTCCCTCTGTCTCTCTCTTGTTGAGTTACTGTACAGGATCACCATAACCAGGCCAGGGTTTATCCAGGCTACACTGTCAGAAGGTCCACAGAAAGAGGATAAACAGCCTCTAATACCAATGCATTATGAGATTTTGGCTATCATCCTATTGTCTTTTCTAATTGTTACTGCTGTTATAAAGTGTTTTTTAAATATACTTTTATCTACTTACTTAAACAAACTAGAACATTTTGATGAGTCATGAAGCTATATAGGAATAGATGTCTGACTCACCAAAGACTTGGAACTCTGCTTGGAGGGTGGCTGAAACTGACGGACATTAGTCGGGGTTTCTTTTTCAATGGAGTGTCTCCTCTGGGGGGTCTGACGCCTCTCTGGCTGAGGTGTAGAGGAGATGGGCAGGAACATGGGGGGAGCTGGTGTTCACAGACAGATGACAAGAAATGTAGCTGGTTACTTCAGAGTTCAAGTACCGCTGATTATAAACAGACAAAATGGTGAGGCTTTAAGATTAAAACTCACTACCTGTGAGCATATGGTTTAGTTAAGGAGGCGACTGAGCTGTGACAGGGATGTAGAATAATAAAGGTAATTCCTGACTCACTTTTCTTCCCCAGTGCAGACTCTGGGGATGTATCATCCAGCAGAGATGTAGCCACACTGGAGCTGCTGGCTGATGTGTGCCCGATCATCTCATCCTGAATACACAGAATAATCACTATTAGCTGCACATCCCTGATGCATTTTTCTAAAAAAAAATCAAACACCCAAACAATCCAAACACAGCACAAATACACAAACTCATACTGACATCTGAGTCTGAGCTGTCCAGCTCAGCAAGGCTGGGAGCCTTCAGAAGCCTTTTCCTCTGGGGAGCGGACTGAGATCCAGAAGGCTCTACTCTGGGACATGTTGATCCATTGGTCAGAGACAGAGAGCTGGACGTCCTCCTGCCCATGTATGGACTAAGCTCGTCTGTGGAGCCACGCAACAGAGGGAGATATTCAGACAAACGGAGGAAATGCACCTGAGATGAATCTCAAAACACTTCTTGCTATGATTCTGTGCATCCTTAACCTGTAATTCTTCAAAATTTTTTGAATGTCCTGCCCCTCAAAAAGAGGAAACAGACTCTATAACAAAATGTTATGTACAAAAGCAAGGGGAAAGATGTAATGAACCCTGTTACAGATGACTGAGGTTTGAGATCCATCCCAAGGGGAAAAAGGGGAGAGGAGGATGAGTTAAGTTTGGTCTGAGACAAGGTAAAGCAGCAGGCCAGTGTTAAACACAGAGCATGGATGCCTCTTTCATAAAACATTTAGACACTGAAAAAAGAAATTCTCAAAACCAAATGCCCCAGGTCTCTATCAAACTCACTGTGCCTGACAGAGGATTCCACAGATAGAAAACAACCCACGATAGCAGCTGCCTACCAAACAGCCTGAGTGTAAATGTGATGTCTATTGAAAGTACCAAACGATCTGAAAAGAGGGTCTAGAGGGAGGGAAGGAGTGTAGGAAGAAGGGAGACAAGCAAGTGCTGCAGATGACATATAAAGAGTCACAGCTGATAGGGTCAGTGGGATCCTTTCACTCTCTTCTCTTGTTTGTGGGAAAAGCGTCCACATGAGCTCGTCATCTCAACAGGAGCCGTTTGTGCCTCTGGACTTGAACTAATGGGATCTCTACTACCTCAGATTTGATAAACCCTTCAGATGTATCTACACTCTATCAAACCAGACATTATCAGCCCTAAATAAATCTACCTGCATCTTGGCTAGGCCTTAGCGTTCAAATGTCCAAACAGAGGAGATATTAGTTCACAGCCAGGGTGCAGACAGACAAAGCTCTTGGGCTAAAGATGAACAAGGCCTTCCAAACCAAAACCACAGCAGTGCTCATACTTTACCTATTCCTGTATGGAACAAATCCAGGGGCATACTGCGAGTTTTGCCAAAACCTAAAAGGGGACACCTCCTTTATTATTACTGTATATCTATAGAAGAATTCCACTGTTTGCTTGTGCCATTAGTTCCCAATAATCTGTGACAATCAATACAGTTACTACATTATTTTGTAATTAGATTATGTATTTATTTTTTTAACTGACACATCCTCATTCCCATTTTGTATTTGTTATTGGTGACTTTCTACATTTTCATAATAACTGCTGTTGTGGTTGTGCTTTCAGTCAGTGGTGTCTGCATGACAGTGAGTTCTGTCAGCTGTGGGTTACACTGTATGTGTTACTGTATGTGTTCATTGCTTTATTGAAATTAAACATGTTTAATTGCATTGCATTGCTAAGGCTACAGTCTGTGGAAAAACACTTGTGTTTTGTCAAGTCAGATGTATAGATTAACACCACTCTCAGGTCTGTGTATGAAGTATGAAACTAGAGCCAGGAGGTGATTAGTTTATCTCAGCATAAAGGCAAGAAACACAGAAACAGCTAGTCTGCTTCTATCCAATGTCAAAAAAAGTCTCCCACTAACTGGAAAGTTCACTAACATATTTAACACAATCTGTACAAAAAGAAAAAGGTAAGCATAGTTTGTGGTTTTAAGGGGATTTACATACTGTAATTACTTCTGGGTCAACAGCAGCCAGGTCACAGATATACTGAGGAGAACATCATACCACTGTCAAAGACGGCACCCAGCTCACTCCTATGACAGTTGCTCACTGGGCCAGTTAAGAGTCTGCATAGTTGGGATTTTCAAGAGCCGTGCCAGGTGACTTCCTGTTGGCTCTTTGCACACATGATTGGGTTACATTATTTTAATTCCACAGCTCTTCTAGACTTTCCAAATGTTACTGGACCAAAAGAACCAGTCATTACAGAGTTTTTGTAATGGTCAGAGAAATGAAGTGGGGAAGCTGGGGCCACCAGGCCAAAATGACTTTGCAGCCCAGCACCATTCTTGGGGGCTTGGACCAGCTACGCTGAGTTTCTGGAGGCTTGTCACTGCGGTGAGGTTGTCAGGAAACCAGTGGAGATTTCAGTATGAGGACTTAGTTGGTGTATGTTTATTCTCTAAACTTTAAACAAACCCAGGCTAGCTCCCCCCAACTCGGAGCTTTATGCTAAGCTATGTGAATCACTTCCTGGCTCTAGCTTTATATTTATAAAGTATTTCTCTGAAATGTTGATGTGGCATTATCAACATTGCAACAAGTCACCACATCACCCCCATCTGTCCAGTTTAGGGGAAGACAAAAGAAGACACCACCAAACAATAAAATAAACCCAGAAAAAGCATCCAAAGCCGTGCACTGACCTGCTTTAATCTTGTGAAATGGATCTGAAAAAGTATTTTCTAGTTACTGACAAGAACTTTAACCATGTTCAGTAAAGTGTCAGTGGGTATGTAAAATACGCAGCAAAGGAGAGTCAAACTGCTCACAGGACAAAAACAATCCATAACACAAGGACATTGGTGTACACACACACACACACACACACACACACACACACACACACACACACACATTATCAGACAGCATGAATGAGAGAGCATGAGGTGATAAAGCCTGTGGTGTGATGAGACACTGGCTGCAGTAGGAGGGAAAATGGACCACAGCATAATTTTGAATGCTCTGCCTCAGCACAGTTTCTTTCACCTCAGTCAAACGTTGTAACACATGCTAGACTGTGTAGTTTAGTGTGTCTACTGCTGTGTGGAGCACTAAATTCTGTCACCGTGGCACATGAAAGAGCCCTTGATTAGATGGCTGGCTGCAATCTTCTGCTTAAGATTCCAATTACAGCCGTATGTTTAAGGGACACTCAGCTAAGGTGACATTTTACTTAAGGGTTTAAAGGTCAATGGCAGCAACCAGCAACATTTTGTCAGGAGTTATGCAACCCTGTCCATGTGTTTGTCAGGAGCTGTAGACAGGTGATACAGCATAAGCCGCTGACACTATACTGCTAACGTTCTATCATTCAGTATGGTGTGAACATCAAAATGTCTTCTAAAAATATTTAAAGTGCACCAAGGTAATGTTATTTCACAACTAAAGAGTTGCACATAAGCGCCACTCAAGTAACAATGTCTTACTCCTGCACAAATCATCTCACTGCTGCAGCTTTCCAAAGGGTAGTAGCATGTTACTTACTTTTAAGACAGAGTACAGTCAATAGGTACAATGCAGTGGGTTCCTGTCTGTGGTTTGCAACCATGAGTATTGATTACTTATAGGATTGTAGCCAATATTCTGGAAAAATTGAGCAGTTATGAGACTTAATTGATTTTACAACCTGTAAATACAAAATGGCATAACGCTATTATGGCTAACATGATATTGAGTCTAACTACACAACCAGCAGACACAGGGCTACATCATCATCCACTGGAGTACTGTTTCTGGCCACCTGATGCACTGTATGGACTGTAAGTCTGACATTCACTTTTGTTTTAGCTCCTGTGAAAGTATTTGTATCTTTAGTTGCTAACTGCTCCACTATGATGACCAGCTGGCTGCAAACGGAGTCTGTCTGGTGCTGAGACCTCCTCCACTGAAAACTTCTGCTGTTCAAATCTGTGGTCTGGAAAACCAGGATGAAGAACACTAGAGGTGACACCGTGCACATAGTCACCGGATTCATTGCTAACATGAGCAGACAAAATCATTTCTAAAAGTTTCAACTAGGATTTTCATGTTTCATATATTCTGTTATATAATTTGTCCCTTTTTTTCAACTTTGAGGTCTAAATGCTCAAATTTGCCAATTCAGTATTTTGAGTATTTTCAGTTTTAGACTTGAAACTGCCCCAGATTCCCCGTGTAAAGACAGAGGGCGTGTCCTCAGTGTAACTTCCGGTCAGTGTGTCCTCCTACTGACCCATGTCTCACAAGTTTCATCTCCACACATCACCACCCACTGAAGCGTGACATGAGAAGTGTGTGCAGTGTGCTGCTGTGTGTGTGTGTGTGTGTGTGTGTGTGTGTGTGTCTGAGCTGGAAGAGCAGATGAGCAGTTTACAACAACGAGTGTAACAGAAAGAGATGAAAAGCCAGGTAAGCAGTGAGGGAGACTTTACCTGACGCATCAAAACTGAAAGACATGCTAAGTGGCCGAATTACTGCAACGAGAAACAGTCATGGCATCGCACAGTTAATGACAGAGATTAGGAGGTAAAGACCTAATGCACAGAAAGTCCTTTTATTTGCCAACAAATGCATGGGTATAACATGCTTTTCGTTGAGTTTTAGGATTTCACGGGAACAGATTCATTACTGTACATTCAGAAGCAGTAGTGGTTTTAGTATTGTCAATGTGAACAGAACTGCAGACACTTAGCATTATTATTCACATACAATTTTGACTTTATTGCAAACAATACAGTCAGCAAAACAATAAAAGTTAGTTGCAACAAAATATGACTTAGGCAGCTTTAGCTACAACAGCAATGAGCAAAGGCAGAAACAGTAGTGAAGTGTAAATGAACTAAAGAGCTCAGAGGCTATGAGGCTACAACATACATCTCATCTGAGTTCAGCTGATTTGCACATGATGCCCTGTAGCTGCAAGCATGAGTTCCATACTTCAACTTAAAAAAAAAAAACATTTCAGAGTGAAGTATGGCCTGATGTGCATTAGTGTGTGTGTGTGTGTGTGTGTGTGTGTGTGTGTGTGTGTGTGTGTGTATAACAAAGGTATAAAAATAACAAGAGCAGGATCAAAGAAGCAGTGAGTATCCTTACCGAGCCTTCCCCTGCGGACCACGTCAGGTGAAACCGGTCGAAGTTTCCTCTCTGATTTGATTTCCTCCAGGATCCGTTCATGCAGGGTAGGAGGAGGCTGAGTCTGGGGCTTCAGCTTACGAGCTGACACCTAGCAGCCATTAGAATGGGTGAAAAAGATTTAATGACACAGAGAAAGTGGAGTGGAAGTCAGCAGCTTATTCAAACAAACAGCTGGCCTGCTCCTTAACACTTCCTCACCCTCTGTGACTGATGGTTCACCTCATAACCCAGAATTCAGAGCCCTGCTGAAACAGCACCTGATACTTCCACTGTAACATTTACAGTATACCAGCAGAGAAGTGATGAACGCAACATTTTACACTGTAGTGAACTGAATTCAGAAAGCTGCAACATTCCAAGCAGCTATACTAGTTTTATAGAGCTGCTTTCTGCTTTTATACACATACCACTGTGGACAAATACTCCATCTGAAGCAGGGCTGGGCCAGGCCGGTAAACAGGTTCTTCTTAGCTTATAACATTGGTATTAGTGTATGTCAGCCAATAAGTAATAAAACACTGCACTACAGAAATGGCAACGACATGTTTGAGGTCATTTAGAAATAGTGTCTACATCACATCATTTTTCTACCAGGGAGCACTAGCATCAGTTAAATATAAAACTTACAGTATCTTGGTAAAAATTCAAAGAAAACAGAGAAAAGTCTAAAGTTAGTCAAAATTATTTTTGGTTTGTTTCTGTTAAATGCACTGTTGTTTCATAAAGTGTTGTGAGGATTGTATAACCTACATCAGATTGGAAATTTTTAGCTAACTATTTACTGATTTAGTGCCCTTGTCTATTCTCATCAACAAAGGTTTTCATAGGTTGTGCAGGAACATTACCTGCTGTGATATTTAAATCCACTACCAGTAGTTGTACTCACAGGGTTGAGCGGTGGCCTGGACCTGATGAACTCCAGAATGACTTCATGAGCACTCTTCTTTAACCTGGGTGGGATATCGCCATCCACCTAAAACCACAGAACATGGCAGCATGAGAGAAAAGTGGCTCAATTCCATAATCACTAACAATTTTAACTACACTATCAATAGTTTAAAGTGATCAAATTCTTTTATGAAAATTCACCTGGAACTCAAGCCAACATAGTGGACTAACAAAAAAAAGGCTCAGAACTTTGTCTCCATTTGTTTGTAATTAGTACTAAAACACATGGTTCTTTACAGGAAACCTTCAGGGAATTATAGAAATAACAGACCCGTAAAATAAAGTGTTATCAAGGTTATTTAGTAAATGAAGTGCATGATATTACAAGCTTAAAGCTCTCATATCACATTCCTGACTAAAGGTCAAAATGCCTAAAAAAAAGGATTAGATTTGCTGTTTCAGAAAATTCATCTCAAACTAAAAGTTCTTTTTTTTCCAATTGCCTGCCAGTTTTAGGGAAAAAACGTGCACCACATTGTTGTATGACCAACAGTCCAATTATACAATAACTGGAATCTGCAATTGATCCTAAACATACTATGACATGCCACTTTTCTTTCCTGAAGAGAAATGTTGGCACATCAGACAAAATGATAGTATATCACCAAATGAGTGAATGTCCGAAATGCTGGTAGCCAACATACAGCAGCATCATCCCAGCCTGCAATCACTATGCAACAGTGCTGCAAGATTTTCCACACAATTTCCCCTGAGACTGAAACAACAGTGCAGCAAAGAGGAGGCACTGGCTTCTCTGTGCGCTCCATATCAGATACTCACCATGACTTTGCGCAGTTTGTAGCGTTTGAACCTAATGTCGTCCATGAGCATCTCATAGGGAGTGAGCTGGTACTCAATGGGCAGAGGGTTGTACTGACGCTCCTGCACCTTCTTCAGCTTGACTCCCTCCCGCAGGTTCCTCATCACCTGAACCCAGAGTTGAGCCTGACAGAGACAGCAAAGGGCAACACGGGAACAGAGAGGTGGAAAATATCATGACTCCTTGGATATCGATTTACCAGACAGTACCAATCACCTGTGCTCTGTCTCTCCATGAACACAGAATAAGGGGAGTGGCTCTTTCCATCTCAACATGGCCCCTGAGAGGTCATTTTATCGCAGTCTATTGACTGTGGTACATTTTTACACAGCTGAAGTCAGAAGTTTACATACATTTAGGTTGAAGTCATTAAAACTGATTTCTTAACCACTCCACAGATGTCATGTAAACTCCTTCTGGCAAGTCACTTAAAACCTGTAGTTTATGTATGACAAGTAATTTTTCCAATGGTTGTTTACAGATAGATTATTTAACTTATAATTCACTATATCATAATTCCAGTGGGTCAGAGGTTTACATACACTCAGTTGACTGTGCCTTTAAACAGCTTGGAAATTTTCAGAAAATGATGTCATGGCTTTAGATGTTTCTGATAGACCAATTGACATCATCTGAGTCAATAGGAGGTGCAGCTGTGGATGGATTTTAAGGCTGGCCTTCAAACTCAGTGCCTCTCTGTTTGACCACTGGAGTCTGTTCCTGTCCTGTTTGGTTGCTGAGCCAAACCAGACAGTGATGGAGGTGCAGAGAACAGACTCGATGATTCCTCTGTAGAACTACTGAAGCAACATCAAGACATCAGCCAGGAAGTTAAAGCTTGGTCGCAAATGAGTCTTCCAAATGGACAATGACCCCAGGCAGACTTCCAGAGTTGTTGCAAAATGGCTTAAGGACAATAAAGTCAAGGTCCTGGAGTGGCCATCACAAAGCCCTGACCTCAGACCAACAGAAAACTTGTGGGCAGATCTGAAGAAGCGTGTGTGAGCAAGGAGGCCTCCAAACCTGTCTCAGGTTCACCAGTTCTGTCTGAAGGAGTGGGCTAAAATCCCACTTGGCTTGTGGAAGGCATCCTGAAACGTTTGACCCAAGGTAAACAATTTAAAAGGCAAAGCTATCAAATGCTAACTGAATGTATGTAAACTTGACCCATTATAAATCTTTTTCTCTACTTTTATTGTGACATTTCACATTCTTAAAATAAAGTAGTGACATTAATTGACCTAAGACAGGGAATGTTTATAGGATTAAAAGTCAGGATGTTGAGAAACTGAGTTTAAATGTATTTGGCTAAAGTGTATGTAAACCTCTGACTTCAACTGTACACTAAATTTCATATTTTGAACATGTGGTTATGGAGAACCTATTATATGACACCAAAGTAGTTTTGATTTTTCCCCCTGAACTTTAAATCTTAGAAATGATCCGCTGAAGCTGGAGGTCAGGAGTCTGGTTGCCTACCCAGTCAGCATTCTGCAGCTCATTCAGGTCTTGGCCAGGCTCCTCTGAGGACTTATCCTCCATTTTACGGAGGTTCTGTTGGAAAGAGAGGGAGACAGAAGATTTAGAGAGTGTGAGATATCCGGAACAAAGAGTCATAGCTGTTTCTCCATTTTAGCCTATCATGTGGTGACCCTCAAGAGGAGGAAAATGTTTTTAATAAGCAGATGCCTGCTGTGAAAGAAGGCCTATTTGCAAGTCAACAAATATTAGCATGCTAACACACTTAACTAAGATAGTGAACACACCCAGGTACCCGACCTAGCCTGCCGCCCAGCTTACATTGCACATCCCTGATTCCTTTCCCTGCAGATAATGTGTCTTCAAGGAGGTGGCACCATTTCATTTCTTTGGGCTGTGCCCGACCAGACCCCCCGCCCCAGGCCCAGCCACCAGATCCCCTTCCAGGTCTGGCTCCAGCAGGGTGACCCGGACAGAAAAATGGGAGCACACTAGATTCATGGGGACTGGCATTGCTTGTGGGGATTGCAGGCCTATGACATAGTTGATCAAATATTACGAGGACACAGTGTAAAGTTAGAGCCAGTCTCAGAAATTAATCTAAGCCTATGTAAGGACCTGGTAAGTGACAAAAACAAGGGTGTGTGTGTGAGAGAGAGAGATATAAAGATAGTGAAGACAACAGAATGAGCATTTTAAAGCAGTTTGGTGGCAGGAAATATTTTCCCTGATTAATATTTGTGGTGAGACTGTTGTTGAAATGTCAGAGCAGATGAGAGCTTGATCACGGGAGCCTGCACCAGCCGACTGCTGAGACCCAACCCACCAAGGAAATCACTGTTCACCATCATCAACCTGACTGTAGGCTCAGTGTAGCACACACATAATATCACTCACAACATAATGCATTTTGCTGCATCATAACTCTGCATGCTAATGTATACAGTTATCTATTTGCACAAAGGTAACTTAATGTTAATGGTTTATAAGAGCCCATTAAATTAAAACACAACTAATCTGGCAGTGAAGAGCATAAAGAGAGATCAGTCCACTTTCTTTTAAACACCATTATCTCCTGACCCCAATTCACATCAAAGCCATATATTTCCATTTCAAAAGGCTGACTGAGCAGCATTCCCTGCATGTGATGGAGACAGCATTTCAATTAAATCATGCAAAGCAAGTCCACGTCAATAATAGGGAAACTACCAACTGCATCTAGAGTGCCTCACTTTTTAGTCAGTACTTCTGTTCTCTGTTATTTAATTTCAGCTCTGAAGAGCTGATGAGAAGCAATTATCTGTGCGTAAATAGGAGCCAGACATTTTTCTGTGAATCATCACTAATTCAGCTGCTTTTCTGTGAATCCCCAGCAGCAGAAGGCATCTTTGTGGAGAGACAAAGGAGCTCTTTGGCTCTTAGTGGTGGACGGATAAAGATGCATCCCCTGTGGGCTGTTCATACAGACTGCTCATGGCCAACTTCTTTCTCTCTCTCTCCCACACAATACACACACACATGCATGGGCATACAAGCAGTATCTCACATAACTGAAAACTGATGAACGATAAACAGAGTGATGATTATTATTTTGTTACTTTCTTGGGGTCCAAAAGGCTGCAGCCCCACATATTTCTTTTTAAGCTTCTTTCTCAGCCTTCTACACCCTGCAATAAGAGTCTGCACTCTCCTAGCAGCGAGTTATGCAACCATCCAAATCTCCTCTATTCATTCAGATGCATTGCGCACAGCAAAAGGGCAGCAGCAGTAGTGAATAGCAGGAAGGAACCCTGAGGTGGAACACACGCACACACACTCAAACACACACAATTACTCCTTGCAGGAAATGTTCCAACCCATAGCTGAGCTCCAAAATGCCCCAGAGGAAAGACAAAGGTCAAGATAACTCCATAATGAACAAGTAGGAAACCTGTATGACAACAGGAACGGTCTGAATGCGAGTTTTGGGACCAAGAAAATGTGTCAATAATACATCTGTGATGCAAGAATCACCTTATCAATCCATATAAATTTTCCCCAAGCCAATTTTCAAGCCACTTCATCAAGTAGAAAGCAATGATAATGATGCATTCTAAATGTATAAAAGTTCAAGTGGGCATTCAGTCTTTATCAGTTATTATCTGTAAATGAAGCCCGACTTTGATACTGTGCAGTATGTCCCTGCTAATCACAGAGCTAAATAACTGGAGCCCTGGGCTCTGAGAACATCAACTCAATAGTTCTGACAGAATGAAAGTCAGCATGTTTCCAGATATTGTCTAACTAAATTCCCTCTCTATTCTCTCTAGTTCAACCAGCAGGGCATTAGTGCACAGGTGCCGCAGGCTGTTTGGACAGTGATGTCCACTTGGACAGTTTGTGTCAAAGCTGCTGACAACTGGTATTTTGAGTTGACACTTAATATAGTCAGGTTTTACCTCTTATAACATCAACGACCATGACATTTGTTGAAGTCTCTACTTTTTAAGAGCAGCGTGATTAAAGGCAAGTATATGGAAAAGCTCTGGAGTCTACTTTAACTTTATACCAGATAACCCTCTGCAATAATTGAAATGCACAACATTGGTTAAATCACATTTAATATTTAATAAAAAGCCTAAAATTGTCCATTTACTGCATCATAACTACAACACAGCCCATATTAGTAACCATTATATTTGATCAGTCAGTGTAAGGGACTGTACAAAAATGATTGGGGTGGTGAGGGAGGCTGAACCTTATGTGTCACTTTGGAAAAAGAAAAACACAAAGACCCGCCCCAGTATTTTTCATGTTATCTTTACTTCCTTCTCTTGAGGTAAAAACAACACTACAACATCTTCCCCACATCCTGTCAAAATAATGTAACAGTGTTAAATTGGCGCAATTTGTTTAATCATAATAACTTCTAATGTGCAACACCTTTAATATCTTAATGTTTATTTACTGGGCCCCTAATCCTGCAAATTAAGGAAAGTTTGAGGTAGTGAATTAATTAATTTAAAGGGGCCCTGGGTTTATTTTAAAGAATGTGTTTCAATCAAGGTGTTGCATCCAGGGATCGAGCCTCTCCCAGCACCTCCTCAGCAGACATCGGGGCCGCCGGTGACTCCTCCCCCGCTCACGTAAGAGCACACTCTCGGCAGCAAGGCACACCTGCTCTCAATCATCAGAGCAGCACTTAAGCATGGCGTTGGTGTGTCCTCGTCGCCAGATGATCTCTCTTCATTCAGACGGTAGCTTTGCATATGGTACGTGCACATCCCCATGTTTTCCCAACGTCGAACTATCTGGTAAAAATCATGTTGTTTTGCCTGGGTACGAGTACTGCACCTTCTTGAGTCCTGACTTTGTTCAGATACGGCTCAGCCGTAACAGTATCATCTGGCCAGAACATGGACTCAGCGGGTTCGGACCCAGGCCACCCAGTTAGTGAGCCTGGAGCACTGCAAGCTCGGATCGAACACCTAGAACAATGTCGGCATATCACACTAGAACAATGTCGGCATATCACACTAGAACAAACATACGCCACGACCCAGCAGGTCTACAAACTCACGAACCACCTATGTCGATTCACTTCTGGGACAAGCCCAGGTCCCCCTCGGGAGAACCGTGTTCCGGACCCTGAAACGTTTTCTGGCGAGCTGAACACGTGCCAGGGCTTTTTGGTCCAGTGCGCTATGGTTTTAGAACAGCACTCGTTTACCTCCGATCTTGCCAAACATGCTTATATATTCAATCTCCTACGAGGCAAGGCCCTGGCCTGGGCGGAGGCCCGGCTGGGGTCCCTTAGTTCTGACCAGTTTCAGGACGAGTTGCGTACGGTCTTTGACCATCCCGACCACGCCGGTAATGTGGCCAAGAGGCTACTGGCCCTTCGCCACGGCTCTCGGAGGGTGGCCGAATACGCGGTTGACTTCCGCATCCTGGCAGCAGATGTGGTGTTGAATGAGGCCGCGTTGGGCAGCGTTTTTGTAAATGGATTGAATGAGGGGATTAAGAATGACCTTGCCCACCATGATGAACCCGTTTGTTTCAATGCCCTAGTAGGGTTGGCCATACGCCTCGACAACCGTCTGAGGGAACGGCGCCGAGAGCGGGGGCTCAGCCGCCTCCGGTTCTGTACTGCGCTGCCGAACGGAGTCCCAGAGCTGGTGACTGGCAGTCCGCCGTCGCCAGTTGGCAAATAGTCCGTGCAACTCGGCTGTGCCCCTCTCTCCGCACAGGAGAAGGCCAGACGCCTAGATGCCAACCTTTGCCTGTATTGTGGGCAGCCAGGGCACCATATTGCCCAATGTGCGGTCCGGCCAAAAGACCGTGGCCATCAGTGAGCCCGGGGCGACTGGTGGCCCGGTATCAAGCCCCCGGCAAACCCCCCCCTGCCTTCGCCTCCCTGCAACGCTTCGCTTCCACACAGACTCCCTTACTCTAACAGCATTGGTGGACTCGGGGGCCGAAGATAACCTTATCGACCGGGAGCACGTCGAGCAGCTGGGGCTGTCGGTTCAATCTCTAAACACACCGGTTATCGCCAACTCCCTAGACGGCCGCTTTATGGCCAAGATAACCCATCGCACTTCGCCGGTGCCGGTCACCATTTCAGGCAATCACCACGAGCTCATTCAGTTTCATGTCATTAGTGCTCCACAGTCTCCACTGGTATTGGGTTACACATGGCTCACATTACACAGTCCTCATGTTGACTGGGCTGCTGGAACCGTGCTGGCGTGGAGCCCACATTGCGCTGCTCATTGCCTCCAATCCACCGTTCCTCCCACCCTCTCCACCGCCTCT